TTAGTGGAGATGTTTTAAAAAAAGAAATAAAATAAACCTACCCATTCTCACATCTCAGAGCAGCGTCTGTCCAACAGGGAATAAATTCCCCGAGTGTTTATGTAAACCTTCCAACTCTTACACAACTGATGAACAGTCCACTCACCTCCCGTCATGTCTGGATTATCTAACACCCTGGACTCAGAGCGTAGTTAATAAAACCTTCATTTTCACAAGACTTTATTGAAATCTAACACTAACATAACAACAGAAGACAACGAACTTCTTAAAAATCTGGGAACTGTTTCAGCCGTTTGAAATAATGTCTCAGCTAAAGTGACTCACACGTTCAAACAACGCCAGCTCCAAGCCTTCTTGGCGTGAAAATTCGGAGGGGAGGAAAACTTCACGGCCACAGCAGTGATCTCCCACAGACAGAAATCACTTGAGAGGCTAAAAATACTCCCGCAAGTCAGACTCTGCTGGCCTAATATGGCAGCTGAAGCCTCGTAGAGCGCGTGCTAACATTTTGTTGACAAAACCATGAGAGTGCAGGTTGCAGTATAAGCTTTTCTCCACACGTGAAGACACTTTTATAACAAAACCCATTTTTTTCAGTTTGGTTCCTGGAGGAATTTATTTTGTTATTTTGTTTACTCCTTACTTTGAATGCCAAGGCTGCCTTTGAGCCTTCGGAGACCTTTTGTGTTGACAGGGTGGGTTTTAAATTCTCACCAGGAGGTGGTGGGGAGGGGCAACTATGGCTGGCAGGAGCAATGGATGGGATGCTTTTGTAAAGGCGGAATGTCAAGACGGAGGAGGAGGGCTGCAGTGGATTAAAGGCAGTCATTGCAGAGTGATGAAGACCGGTCCAAAAAGAAATCAAATAAGATTTTTTTCTCATATTGACAATTTATGTGCCAGTAAATTACTAATTTGCAAGCAAAACTTGTAATCAGATGCCAACTGCCACGTGTATTTGTTTACCTACAAAAACAGCCAAAGGGACTGAAAACAGGACCACAGCGGGTAAAATAAGTATTGAACACGTCCTGGCCATCATTTGGAACTGAACCAGCTGATATTAACTTGCACTGACAAGGGGCAGGCTTGCTTTCTAATTACTGAGAGAGTTCAGCTGGTG